CAGACTTTTGGCTCTACTGGTTGGTGCATTAAAAATAATATGGTATCAAAGCTAAGAGGTCTTGGGTTCAAGACACAGCTTCATAAATAGAAAATTTCCTTGCCCTCTTTCTATCTATGTTTAGGCCTTATTTAGCCGCACAATGAGGGGGTGTTCAAATATATGTGGATTGCCCAACCTTTTGCATCGATTCAGAGTTTTGGTTCTATTGGTTGGTGCCTGAAACTTAATACTTGACATGTCAGATGGAGTGTGCATGGGCTATTGCATTATGTAAAACCTTTAACGAATAAACCTGAAGAATACCAAAAGGGGGGAGACATGTTCAGACATTAGCCAGGTTTGTAGGAAGTGTGAAGAATCAACAAGAGGTGGATGATGAGAGGGGGAGGAGAAGATATTACAACAGATATACAACAGACGATCACAGGATATAAAAAATCTACAATGAAGTACACACATAAATTGAAGTGCAAACTCATAGTTCTACACCAGGTAAAAAATGTGGGTTTTTTTGTTTGAAACATTTGAGTACGTAAAAATTAAGGTTTGAACTCCTTAAAAATCGACCATGTTATATGTCAAAACGTCCAGGAAACATTATTCTACATGTGGGACATCCCCTGCTAATAGCATGTCCGAAGTTCAATACAAGTTGAAAATATGATCGCACTAAACTCCATAACAGCATCCATCAAACTAGTTCGAGAATTATTATGGGCTTTAAGATAAACATCTACAAAACTCAGTTCAAATGCTGTGGAAGCAAGCTGGATAACTAGGTATTTACTGCAAACACATGGATATTCAACAGGAGGAGAATAAGCTAAATTACTAGTTCATTGTATAGTTTGTAAAATACATTTGTTCTGATTAGTTGCATAGTCCACAGCACTGCAAATATCATTTAAAAGGATTATAAATTCATATGTGAATGGTAAAGTTGATAGCCCCTACTAAGTAGTCATGAAAGGAAAACTGATACATGCAGATATGACTTTTTCACAGAGCATACCAGCATCTTTTGATAGATCAAATATAGGACAGCACAAAAATGCCACACTTTCCATGTCTTCATCCCTATTGTTAAACTGGATGAAGAAGAGCGTTGGAACTTGATCAACGTTCTGGGAACCTCTTCGTCTTGCCCAGACATTCATGTGAGCAAATGGGTATTTGTAGCTGTGCGGGCAGTAGCATGCGCCATGCTCAGGTATTGTAGAATTCACATCACAGATAAAATGAAGCTCGTATTCCTGTCCCTATAATCAGGCAAAGAAAGATAAAATCAACAATGGTGACTGGAAGAGCAAGTGGTAGCGCTTAAAAGAAAGTTACTAAACAGAAAATAAACTTGCCGTCTTTTTTGCATATCTGTGTAATGCAGCTTCAGCTTTTTTGACAGTTGTACTCTGGCAAGCCTTAAAGTTATCCTGGTGCTCAGATATAATCTTGGAGGCATTCTCGCTCAATTTCTCAACCGGCTCCAAAGATTTGGCAGGCGGTAATGTTTGTGAAAAAGTTCTAGATATCGCACAAACATCACTGGAAGAGAGGACCTGCTTAATCTCAAGTGTTGACTGAAGGGTTTTCCCTACCTGTGGCATCAGTGTCATTGCAAATTCTACGAGTGCAGTAGGGCTGGGATGACGTGCTGTGCGAGCTGCTGTATCATACGCAAAAGATTCAGAAAAAGGGATGTGTCCATCGTGACCTTGTTCTTTTGCTGTTTCATCAATGACCCGATCAATTCTGGCGTTGCAGAGAAGCAGGCACTTCATAGCTTCATATACAGAATAAGCAGGGAAGCAGGCACAGATGTAGCCAACAAGACCACATAGGGAGAGGAACTCGGTGCGCGCGAGGCTCTTTGTGCAGATCATTTCAACCTCAAACTCTTGACTTGGAGGAAACATGGTGTCATACCAAATGGTGTTGAGGATGATGTTGGTCACAGGATCGAAAGGACCGTAGCAGTGGCCAGCCTTAAGGAGACCACGGTGGTGGCGTGAGCACAAGTCATTCTTTGGTATGCAGGAAATCGCCTTGAGGTAGAACAGATGGATTCGATCAAGAAGCACCATCTTGAGAGAGATTTCTAGCCCAAGCTCAACCAGAATAGTCTTCCTTTTTCTGCGTTGCATCTTTGAAACTGCGTGATGTACATGATTCAATTGGTTTATCGTATCCTTGCTGGAGGTGAATAACTTGGAGAGTTCCATTATATTGGAATAGCTGATGCAGTCCTGTGTCGCTAGAAGGTTGGAGGCCTTGTCCACACAGGAAGCCAGCGAGAAGGATCGAGACACCAATATGGCGACAGTGGGATGCAACGCGGAGATGGCAGCACATTGCAGAGCTATTTTTGCAGTAGGGACGTGGATGGTGAAGGTGTGGATGTCACGATCTTCGTGGATGAGACGCACAGCGACGAGAAGGTCGGCTTCTGACAAACGCAGGTAGCGGAGGGCATCACAGGTGGTAAGGTAGCGGAAGTAGGAGGTGAGGAAAGTAACGAGGCCGGCAAGAGATCGGGCAGCAATGCTGCTGTTCCGGAGTGTGGTGAACCGGGGTACGAGTAAGATGTCTTTGCTAGACTCTGTGATGATCTTGGAGATGGCCGTGTCCCTCAGTCCCTGCGAATGCTTCTTTTCCTTCCCCTTCTTTGTGTTGGTGTAGCTGCCGGCCCGTGATCTCTTCCTCTTCCTACTCTTTTGTAGCTCTTGGGAGACGGTGTTGGCGATGATGTTGGAGACGGGGTCGAGGAAACCGAAGCTGAAGCCGGCCTCGAGGAGGCTCGGGATCAGCTTGGGCGGTAGTCGATGGAGCGCCTTCTTGTAGTAATCGTGGAGGTGATCCAGCGCCGCGGACTGGTTGTCTTTGGCGTCTTTCCGGTCGACACCATCGATCATCAGGCGACGGCGGAAGATTTCGCTCGCCGTGGACTCTCTCGCCATCTCGTTCTGGGTGGGGAACGCCGTCGGCGGCGCGTTTGAGATCGGGAAGGGGAAAGGCTAGGGTTTCATGGGGTGGGTACTCTTACTATTTAGTAAGTGGTGAATTAGTGTGCATCCACCCGGTAACCATTTTAGGGCGTCTTTGATTCAAAGGATTTTCATAGGATTTTTGAAGGATTTTTGAAGGATAAGAATCCTTCGGAATTTTTCCTCCGTTGATTGCTTGATTCGCAGGATTGAATCCCATAGAATTTTTTCCTATGGATTCATTTGAACTACATTTCATAGGAATTGTAGCATCCACTCCAACCTCTTGGAAGAAATCTTTTTTTTCCTATGATACAATCAAACAAACTCAAATCCTATAGGAATCCAATGAACATGTCATTTCAATCCTACGTTTTTCCTATTCTTGTGTTTTTGCAATCCCGCGAATCAAAGAGGCCCTTAGTGTTGTTACTATATTTACCATGAATTTTACTAGCAGAATCATACGTGAGGCTGCGCATATGTGCATGCTGATGATAACCATTTTAATCATGTTACTTCCTCCGTTTAGGTGTATAAATTATTTTACGAAAACCAAATAATTTCAAAACACTTAAGCGTGGTGCATTAACTTTCATCTTGTTTTTTGTTTTTGAGATATCAACCAATAAAAGATATGAAGTGTGTATTTCTACTCGTAATGAACGAGTTGGTGAATCGTCTTCGCGGTTTATTTTTGTTGGGTTTTTTTTTCGTCTCTCCTCCCACCCTTGTCCACGGTTTATTTTTGCTGGGTTTTTTCGTCTCTCCTCCCACCACCCCCTCCCACCCTGGTCCATCAGTTTATTTTTCTCTCCACTCTTTATTACAACCAGAACTTTCCTAACATATAATAAATCATGAATCTGACTTTCTTAAATTATGCAAATCAATCGATTCATTTTATTGGTTCAATTTGTCTTAGGAAACAAATAACAGATTTTCAGGAAACAAATAATACATTTTAATCTAACTTTCCTAACTTAGTGAAATTTGTTTTATAAAACAAATAACAGACACGTCACAACTTTCCTCCCAATAAATAGTTTCTTAACATTTGCAAAATTTCCTAATCAGACACATCAGAAATGGGCAGGTACCGATATCACATTACCAAACAATAAAACCTCATTTGCATAAAAATCAGTTCAAAAATCTTAACTTTCCTAAATTTTTACCTTTTCTCTACTCCTAATGGACGAGTTGGTGAATCGTCTTCGCGGTTTATTTTTCCTGATTTTTTCGTCTCTCCTCCCACCACCCCCTCCCACCCTTCTCCGTGGTTTATTTTCGCTGGGTTTTTTCGTCTCACCTCCCACCACCCCTCCCACCCTGGTCCATCGGTTTATTTTTCTCTCCACTCTTTATTACAACCAGAACTTTCCTAACATATAACAAATCACGGATCTGACTTCCTTAAATTATGCAAATCAATCGATTCCTTTTATCGGTTCAATTTGTCTTAGGAAACAAATAATACATTTTCAGGAAACAAATAATACATTTTAATCTAACTTTCTTAAATTATGCAAATCAATCGATTCCTTTTATTGGTTCAATTTATCTTAGGAAACAAATAACAGATTTTCAGAAAACAAATAATACATTTTAATCTAACTTTCCTAACTTATCTAAATCAATCGATTTCTCTTATTAGTGAAATTTGTTTTAGGAAACAAATAGCAGACACGTCACAACTTTCCTCCCAATAAATAGTTTCTTAACATTTGCAAACTTTCCTAATCAGACACGTCACAAATGGGCAGGTACTGATATCACATTACCAAACAATAAAACCCCATTTGCATAGAAATCAGTTCAAAAATCCTAACTTTCCTAAAGTTTTACCTTTCCTTGATAACAACCAATATTCCCTATGTTTTCCACCTATTGAAGGAAATCACCCCTCCATCGATAATAGCATTTTTTTGAACTGAGATCTCCGGATTATGATTTTTTTTGCGATTCTTTCCAATTTTGACCTCTCCTTCCACTCTGGCTCCTTCTCGCATAAACACCTCCACCACAGCCAGGTGACACCGTCCCAGACCTCCTGCCTCTCCACACCTTCTCCGCCACCTCCTTCTCGTACTCCATTAACAATCCCTCCGCCACATTTGTCCACGACGGTGTCGAGGGCATGGCGCAGCAGCGTACCAGCGATAGTGCAACGCATAGCAGCAGGAAGCAACACGCAGCAGGCGAGGCGAGCGGGCGACGGTGGAGGACAGAGATGCGGCCGGCCTGGCTGAGGGGCGGACGACAGAAGATGGCCACGACTGGAGGCGGCGCGAGGCAGGGGCGTGACAGCGGGGTGAGCGAAGGGATGGGCAGCAGCTGACGGGGCGAGCGCAGCCAGCGAGAGTGTGGCGCGCGGCCAGGGTGTGTGTCGCGCGGGGCACAGTGGTACGGTGGCTGCGGCGAGCGCGACAGCAGCGACGGGCGCTACCGATGTGGTGTAGCACGGGCGTGGGCATGGAGAGGGAGTGACCCTGCGGGCGCGGAAGAAGAGCGGCATGCTCGGGCATGGGCGTGCATAGGAGCGGGCATGTGCCACGGGGTCAATCCGAGGAGCTCGGTGGCTACCCTGCAATGGCCATGGCAGATGGCGGTTCTCGGCCACGGCGAAATACCTAACGAGAGCAAACGAGAGGGGAAACAGGGAAAGTCAAGAGGAGATCATGGCGGTGTCAATGGCGCCCTAGGGGAAGACATGGGAGCTCGGGGTGACACGGATCGAACGGCAATGTCACGGTGGCCCATGGTTGAGGAAGACGGCAACGACGTTGATGCCGGGGTGCTGGACTTGATCTCGTTGGCGCAGACGAAGTAGCGAAGGCGTTCGGAGCTCCTCGACAAGATCCTAGCCCGCAGGGAGGGCAGTGGCCATGTGGACAGGGTCGGTCATGGTGGTCGTGGCGTCTGACTTCGTCCAGATCGACGGGATCGATCGAGCGAGGAGGAGAAGTGGATTTGGGAGGGGGCGTCGAGGAGGAGTGAGGCCATGGGGGCAGGGAAGGAAGGGCGTCACTCTTATCCATTCCCCTTTGATGCCAGCGAGGTGGTCAGGCGGGAGCCCGGCTCTGTAGCGACGCGGCTCGGGGAACAGGAGAAGACGACCGCGCGGGGACTCGACCGCTGAGCCGGTTCGGTGGCAAGGCTCGGGGGCAGGGCGAATCCCCCTTTACATCGTCCTTTTGGTTTTTAAATGTATTCTAATCTCTTTCTCCTTTTTAACACCGTTTTCTATTTATTCTTATCATTTAAATGATCTCTACTCCTAATGTCTCAGTTGGTAGTCTCCGTTCCGGGTTTATTTTCGTCCCCCCTCCCGAATGAGGGAGAGGGGGAGAGAGAGTGAGGAAGAGAGAGGGAGAGGGTGTGTGTGAGAGAATTTGATGGTAAAAAGGTAGTCAATGTCACTTAATATGTATGAGAATATTAAATGTAATATTAACATAATTGATATTGAACTTTTAAAGTTAATGTGGCCCCGTTGCAACGCACGGGCGTTCTTCTAGTGTTTTAAATGACTCAAGACTATCAAACACGACATGCAGTGGTTAGTTTATTGCATGCAATGCTATTACTTGGCAAATGAACATTAAGTTTTTTCGTTTTTCACTCCTTTTTGATCACGATGCACAACCTAAAATGACTTATTCATCTAGACGAAGGGAGTACTATTTTTACAACTGACTTTACTAGCAAGTGGAGGGATTACCTCTCGAGGAGGGGCAGAGTTGCATGTTGATTGTAACAAATTTAATTTCGTTACTATTTTTATGTGGGAGTTTACTACCAAGTGGAGGAAAAACTGTGGGAATTTTTCTAGGTTTGCTACTCCAATCAATGCATCTACTCTCTCTTGCTCATCTTTCAATTGCACATAAACATTGACATTCATCTTGACATGAACTCATGCTTATGTTGAAAATCTTCAAAAGATGTGTCTTTACTATTGAGGAATTTCACGTCGAACAAGAGGTTTCATGTATTAAAAATGTATCACAGTAGTATCAAACATTATTTTCTTTACCGAAAAAGGCTTTCGCCCCGCTTTATATATAAAGCAATGATCAACAGCATCCGGTACAAACGCACACCCCTCACAACAGATGCACACACACATCCAAGGCATGACACATAGGCGCTAAGCGCGGCAACACCATCCCTAGCACTACGCAAAGAGGTGAAGCCACATATGACGAACCGTGGGCTTCAAGGCGGCGCCTTCAAGAAGGGGACGACATCGGAGCGCCGCCACCGCCCGATCCAAGGATCAGAGTTTCCCCTGGAGCAACACGACGGGCAATGAGAGCCGCGACGACACCTTCAAGAAGGGAACGAGGTTCGCCGTCGCCAGTCCGTCCGAACATAGAGCAGGTTTTCACCCCGACCACCAATCACCACCACCGAACGCCACATCCCGGCTACCACGCCGCCCACACGGCTGTCGCAACCGGGCAGCACCAAGCCATGGGCTCTGCCCATGAGCCTTACGAACCCACCATCAGGGCCGCCGCCCCGACATCCAAGACCTTGACACCATCTCATCCGAGATCCGCCGCTACTCCAACCAAAGACACGAGCGAAAAGGACCCGCCTTTCGCACCCCTGGGCTGCCCCCAGTGATGAGACACAATAGGCCGGCCAAAACTAGCCTCCATCGCCCCGTCCTACGGCACCGGGCGCGAGACGAGCTCGGTCCTGCTGCCAGGCGCGAGACGAGCATGATCCTGCTGTCAGGTGCGAGACGAGCTCGGTCCTGCTGCCGGGCGCGAGACAAGGTTAGTCCTGCTGCCGGGCGCGAAACGAGCCTGGTCCTGCTGCCTGGTGCGAGACGAGTGATGGACCATAACTGGGGGAGGGCCAACCATCGACGAAGGTAGCAGACGATTGATGAAACATTATTTTCTTTTTACCGAAAAAGGCTTTCGCCCCGCTTTATAGATAAAGCAAACCGCCAAGAG